ATTATCATAAACCAAACACAACTTGTCAGTATCCACACATGCATATGGCACAATATTTAACAAAATCTTTATAAATAGTTCATTTTAAGGAAAACAATAATTAAAATCTACCTACATTAAACACAAAACACCAAAGACCTTGGTAATAAATTGAGAGGCAGTGAATGAGGGTGACACCTCAGTGTGGCAGGGCTGTTTGTTGGGGAGAGTAATGTAGTACTAACATTTTTACTTAACATATTAAGACCCTTATGGAAGAATGTTGATCTTCCATACTACTTACAACCTTTCAAAAATCCAGTGAAACTGTAAGTGGAGAAAAAAAGTAAACACTGAAGCCTGACTTACCTCCACTAAATACCTACTTCTGCCTTGTAAACAAAATCAATTTCCTTTTGCTAGTTCAAATATGTAAAACTCAACAACTGTCCAGGCTCAGAGTTATGTTGAATATATTTCTAATGAATTCTTCTACTGACTTATATCCCCAAGTAGAAGACACATAAAAACATAGTACTCAGAGTTGTCCCACTTTATAAGGACACTACTTGAGCAAACATGCAAATATGAATTTGGCTATGGCCAAATATCAATTATAACGAAAAAAAAAACCACCCTTCACTTCTACCCAAGATACCTCAGAAATCAAATTAAAAAAAAAAAACCTTTACCTTATTCTAATTACCAGCTCCAACTGTTAAATTTAAGAAAATTGAAACCAAGATGATTCTTGGTATGGGTATATAATGACCTTGCTATGTCCAAGCACAGTGTAGTGGGATGCCTGGCTCATTTCATCACATTGTTTTTGCTGTTCTCTCATCACAATCCTTCTCACTAAGAAGCAGTGATATAGACTTGAGTGTGAAGCAGTGCCATGCACATGTTGACCTTTTAACAGCTGGGAACTCCTTAAGCCGAAACCACCTCAGACTGGGTGTTAGTTCTTCTCCACCAGAAGTATAGATATGACTAAATAAAGTTGGTGAGATAAGAAGAAACAGTCCCAGAAAAAAAGTACAGTGAACCCAAAGACCAAGATCTAAACCTTGGCTCGCACATATTTGCTAATGCTTACATGAGACCAGGTTGCCTGGTGTAGGCTAGTGGTTCAATTGCTTCTAATCCTCTGTCAAGTAAAATGGGACCTTTTAGCATTTTTCTCCCATGCTTTTAACACACTTATCAGTGGTTTGATCTTGAGGCCCTTAATCAGTGTTTGTAGATGAGCTGTTATTAAAAGTACACTTAACAGAATTCTAAAAACAGAAATCTTGTGGAGAATATTCTGTTAGGGATAAGATCTGATGATGAAGTCTATGTTTTACCTTAACCACCAAGCACTTCTGGGATAGAAACTAGCAATACAAGATTCATAAAGATTCTGAAATAATAAAGAATAATATAATCTCCAAGGAGGTTCGTGTTTCTCTCTGATCATGAAATGTGTAGAGAGGAGCTAAAGACAAAATGAACCTTCAAAAAAACCAAATGGACAGCATAGTAGCCATCAAACTGACATGTCAAAAGAAATACCCATACCTTTGGGTACCTTTCACATCTTCACTTAGCTAACCCTAAATAGGTTGGGAGTATTTTAGAGACCTGCTGGGTGGTTGTACAGAAAGCCCAGACATAGGAAAGGAAAAATTGGCTCAAGAATGTTCTGTAGAGTCCTGAAAGATCAAACTTCAGCCTGGCTTCCTGCTAGGGGTAGGTAGAGAAATATAGAACTTTGAATATTAGACAAAGCCCTGGAGACCCATATGAAATTTCCTTTCTGTGTTCTATGATACAACTCAGGACCATTGCTCTTTGAATATCCACTGGACCTTCCAATAGACTCACAGAATGCTATGAGTCTAGGGACCCATGAAGCAAGCAAAAAAAAAAAAAAATCTTATAAACCGTATTTAAGAGCTAATGGGAGGAAAAGCAAGACAAGCGCCTAAGATGAACTCCTGTGATATTTTCTAATGGAAAACTCCACCACAGCTTCAGCAACACTAGCAGATTCTGCAATGTATTGCATTTCTTAGTGGTGAAAATGTTTTATTTCCTCCTTTCCTCCCATCCTTTCATTCCTTCCTCTACTAATCTCTTTCTTCTGTAATACTAGGATGGAATCTATGACCTTGTTCATGCTAAAGGGAACAGCTGGGAACTCCTTAAGCCAAAACCCCTCAGACTGGTTATTATTATCTAAATTCCTATCCCTTGGGTTTCTGAAAAAGAGTCTTGCAATGCAATGCAGACCTGCTTCAAAATTCTGGTACTTCTGCTTCTGCCACCTTTATATTAAGAGAATACTAGCCGGGCGGGTGGTGGCGCACGCCTTTAATCCCAGCACTCGGGAGGCAGAGCCAGGCGGATCTCTGTGAGTTCGAGGCCAGCCTGGTCTCCAAAGCGAGTTCCAGGAAAGGCGCAAAGCTACACAGAGAAACCCTGTCTCGAAAAACCAAAAAAAAAAAAAAAAAAAAAGAGAATACTTGTATGCATCCATGCCCTGCTCTTCTACCTTTTAAAAGGCATCAGGAAGTGTCAAGTGAGGAGAAATGACTAAAAAGCCTTCTAGCCTTGCTATGTACCCCTGTTTCACTGAGTAACCCCTTTACTGTCTCTATCAAAGTCTGTATAATGATCCATGGAGATGACAGCTGTGATGTGAATAATGTAAAGTGCAGCACCCATGTGTGTAGTAAACCTTAACATCTTTGACCAGGATAATTGTTCTTATCTTTAGATTGTTTTGAATAAATGAAGTCACACCAGCATTGTGGACAGTGTCTACTACTCCCAAGCATACAGATCCAGTTGCTTTACTCATTTGACCACTTTTCCCATCTAAACCTGAACCACTGTGAGAGAAAAGGTATCAAAACTACTGGCTCTTTTTGGACAGAAAGGGATACTTAAAACCAATGCATGATGGTCGTATCTATATCCTGAGGGTCACATCTGCCATGTTCTACAGAAAGGTTATGAAGAAAAAGGTTTCAATTCATGCTGAGAAGCATGTGAAACTGGAGGTTCAGGCTTAAGAGAAATGGACTGACTATTCTCTAAGCCAAGAAAGCACCAAATGGTCCCCTTTGCTCCTCAGTGTTCTATTCCTGCACCTCAGAAACTTCACAGTCAAGACCTGACTGGAAGGGAAAAAGGTAAGAATACTAGAGTAATAAAAATGGAAAGAAGTTTAAGAAAAGACAGTTTCAAAAGCTAAAAGACATAAATTTGAATCCAACTAGTGAGCAGCCTAATCTTTGAGAATGAAGACTCTAACAAATATGCTGGCTTCAGAGCCATCACAGCTATGGAAAACTAGGACATGAGTTGTAGAATCAAGGTCTTCAGGCCTCCCTCATGATCTCTCTCTCTCTCTCTCTCTCTCTCTCTCTCTCTCTCTCTCTATATATATATATATATATATATATATATATATATATATATATATATATATCCTTCCACTCTGTGTGTGTGTTTATGTGTGTTTGTGTGCATGTGTGTATATGCTTGTGCATACGTGTGTGTTCAGGCCTCCCCTATGATATCTCTCTACATATCCTTCTACTCCATGTGTGTGTGTGGTGTGTGGTGTGTGTGTGTGTGTGTGTGTGTGTGTGTGTGTGTGTGTGTGTGTGTGTTTGTGAGAGAGAGAGAGAGAGAGAGAGAGAGAGAGAGAGAGAGAGAGAGAGAGAGATGAGAGAGTCAAAGCAGAAATTTAAAATGGAAAGCACTTCATTTTTCTCTCTAAACTCTCAGGAGAGTTCTGTAAAACCCTTTCTTCAGACCTACCTGACAAAAAAATATAGGCAGGAAAAATACACAGGCAGAAAAACTCTACCCTGTGCATCATTATTCCCCCCCACTTCCATAATTAATTAAAGAGAAATTACATGCCCAGCAGTCCCAAGGCTATGGATTCTGGGTCCCCAGACTAAAATAAGAAAACAATAAATGTTCAACGTCAGTCTTGGGGAAATGATGGGGCTTTAAACCTCTGATAGGATGGTGGCTCCGTATACTCCATTTTTAGAGTACTGATTATTGTGGGGCCTACGTCCCAGGCCCACGCTACTGGTGTTGAATAGAAGAGCAGGAAAGTCCAGCAACAACCACTGGCAAGGTTGCCAAGAGGGAAAGAGACCTAGAAGAAGAGCAGAGGAAGTTAGAATCTTGTGACTCAGTTTCATCATCACCCTCTTCCTTTTCTCTAAAAGTGCATGGTTAGACCAGTGATTTAGGACACAATAGCAGAATATATCACCTGGCCATGGAGATGGCAAATCTATACTATTCTAAACTAGCAAAGGTATTTTTCCTGAAACTTGGTTAAGTTTTAACAAGATGTACTTGAGAAAAACCCAAAGTGTTGCTTTCCAGACAGATAATGTCTTCAGTTCTCTCCCATGGCAGAGGAGTCACATGTGTGGCCCAAGGAACAGAACCAGAACCCATAAGTGAGTATGAGAGACAGTTATGCATTTTATATTAAGCTCCAATTCTTCAGTCATAGCTATACTACACATTGGGCAGTTGTGAGCTCTTATTCACTGCAGTACATACACAAGAACTGTATTACCTCTTGATGAAGAAATAGACTGGGCATCCTTAGTCCAAAATTCAAAGATTCAAAATCCCAAGTGCTTGAAACTTTATAACTATTTGGCATGACACTATAAGTGAAAAATTTCATACTTGATCACACATGACAGTTTGTACTAAGAATAGTACATGAAAGTACCTTCAGGGAATGTGCACAAGGTGTACATGAAGCATTAATGAATTTTGTACATGTTCTATTTTTTTCTCCAAGATGTTTCTACACACACACACACACACACACACACACACACACACACACACACACACACACCATGTATATTTATACATACATATAACATATGTATATGTGACATATATTGAGATACATACACATATGTTTTGAAATCCAATGATGGAGTTAGATGAACTCTATAATGGGACTGCTAATCCTGGGTTCTAGCCTAGTTCTGAGATTGGGTTGCTCTATGACTTTAAGAAAATCACTTTTCACCTCTGTGGCTCAATTCCTGCTTGTTTAAAATGAGATTAGCATATTTCTGATTTGCCTACCACAAAGGCATGAAGTTATGAAGTTCAAAACAAATGTAGTGGATATAGAAGGAATTTGTAGTTTGCGGCCAAATGCAGGGAAAGGAAGGAAAGCAAGAAAGGAAGCATGGTATAAGCATTCTCATAAAGATATTATAAAGGACACTTGTGTATGTTTTCATTCAATCCTTACAATAACTTATGAGCAGAAGAATCTGTGTCTGAAAGGTAAAATGATTTCCGCAAGCTCATAAGGCTATTCAGAAACTTCGATTTATTTCAATATAGAGTTGCACACTGTTCAATGCTGTGCTGCTTATACACATGAAAGGAGAAAACTGAATATGACTAGTTAATAGTGGGGTCCAGATGAAGAAACTGGCATCATGTCAGCCTGCTCAGTCTCCAGACAATTGTTGGCTTACAAGTCTGATGTAAAATTAGCTGAAAAGCTTAGTACCACAGCTGTTGCCTCTCCAACCTCTATCAGCCCAATTTCCTGCCACTCTTCCTCCAAAATCCTATTGAACAATACAACTTGGAAATTTGTTGAGAGTGGCCCACACCTTCTGGTCTTTTAACCATACCTTTCTAGCTCACCTCAGTAGAGTCAAAGGCTGGGAACTTCAAAAGGTACGTAGAGCCCCAGCCTGTCTCCGGAGCTTTCAGCTGTGTTCTCCCTCAAGGTTTCAGCTCCAGGACAAGGGGCAGAGGTGGAAAACTTTTGTAGGTCCAGCTCTGTACATTCAATGGGGGTATGGACCCATTGAGAATGGCTCTCTGAGGCACAGGAGGCCATGGTAAAGGACTCCTGGGTGGGAAAGCCACGAGTGGAGCTGCAGTCGTCATCCAGAATGGAGTTAATTGGCTTGATCTCAAAGATGCTCTCATTCACTGGAAGTTCAGGACTTGTCTCCTGGCCAGGTGGCATGGGGAAAATAGAATCCTCCTCCACTGCCTTTTCAGCCTCATATTGCAACGAATCTCCTGCAACTTGAAGCAGAAAGCCACTGGGTCACCCACAGTCAGGGTTTCTTCTCAACAGGGTACCTCTTCCTGAGCACAAAATAGGGAAGGGGTGAAGGGGTCTAGGAGCCAGAGTTCCTCTTCCTTCCTGGAGGACCAGAGCATCTAGAAGTGGGCTAAAATCACACATTTCAGGAATATACTTTCATTGAGGTGTTACATTAAGTCTGTCAGATGATGGATTAGGGAAGACAAATTTATTCAGCTAGAGATAAATGCTTCATAGAAAAGATATTTTAATACACCCCCTTCTTCCATGATCTGTGTATATTATATCATATGGCAAAGGAACCATGCTATCAGAATTATGGTAGTGGATGTTAAAATAGGAAGATTATCTTGAATTATGCAGATGAGTTCATAAATACCGTTAAGATAAATCATATTTTTATTCTATGATTAATGATGAACATTTTAATTTAGTTCCATTTTTCTAGGTTACTAGATGCATCATGATAAGTGTAAGAAGGCAGAAATGACACAGAGCATTAGAAAGATGTAGCATAAAACAACATCAATATACGACTGCTAGTTTTAGAAATAGAAGAGAGCCATGATCCAAAAAAATATGAGCAGCCTCTAGTTGTTCTCAACTTCCTTAATACTTCAACCCTTTAATACAGCTCTTCATGTTGCTGGTTTATAATGATAGTTTTGCTACTGTTATGAATTATATTGAAAAAAATCTGTGTTTTCTGATGGTCTTAGGCAACCTCTGTGAAAGGGTCATTCTACCCCCAAAGAGATCGTGACCTACAGGCTGAGAACCACTGCTCTAGCAGCTGAGAGTGACCTTCAGATGATAGCCACCAAGAAAATAAGACTTCAGTCCTATAAATTGATGAGGATTTCCCTAAAGCATACAGAAAGAAACACAGTCCCACCAATTTCTTGATTTAGGCCTTGTTAAGATCCAGAAAAGCCTGCTAAACTTCTGAGCTATGGAAACTGAGACAATCAATTAAATATGTGACAATTTGCTATAACAATGATAAAGATAATTAACCTATCATTCATGCATGAGTCTGACTCAATATTAGGTTACAAACTGAGTATATGTTTATATTTCTCCACTGTGGTTGTGGTTCTGTAGTTCATTCAAATTATTTGTGAGTACTTAAGAAAATTTCATACACAATTATAAATTTCTGGATCATTTGAAAATTTGGAAGGTTTTGCAGTGGTAACAAAGAGAAGGAACTGAGTAATGGATTCTTGTTTAAATGGGAGATGGTCCTTCTAGTATGTCACAATTCCATTCTTTTTTTTTCCTGCATTTGCATTGGGTTTAATTCATACTAAGTTGATATCCCCTAGAAAGCCCTAGAATGTGTATAAGTCTCTGAGTACTAATAGACACCTTTCTCATATGCAAATCATGAGGAAGCTACCTGTCCTTATGCTCCCAGGAGGACACTACAATAAGTGTCCTTAGGCTAGAAAAAGTTACTCATTTTTTTCTCTTCCAAGGGAAGAACAGGGAGACAGGCAGTTCTTAGATACTTCATCACATTCACCTAGCTGAAAGCAGGGACCCAAATACTTCATTATCCATGATCCAGAACTAGTCAAGAATTCTTAATTTACATACCACCTTCCAAAGACTGAATGGTCAATGAAACAGAGATACAGTGGTCCACCATAATCTGAACTGTCAGAGCTACCAGAGTAACTTTACGAAGATTGAAGTAGAGTTGAATAAGGGTCATTGACAATCAAGAGGGAAACATTATATCTCATGAAATGCTAGATTCATCTTTGCTTAGAAAACATGGAATACATACAAATAAATAATTGATAGGCTCTAGAGCCAAATTGACTAAGCAAGCTCTATTTAAGAAGGATTTTCCAACACAAGTAGAGTGAAGCTAAAATAAAGTGTTGCCTCTGGCACAGTATCCACATTAAGTTAAGAAATCCTGACAGTCCTTGTGTTTAGTAAACTCTATCCTTTCCTTTACTAGCACAGGTCTATTTATTAGTCTGAGTTAGTTTTCTTGTCCCCATTAGGTTCTTAGTTACATTAATTGCACTGAAGCTGCATTGGACACTGGTATTCTTGTCTGAGATTCTAATGTCTTATTTAGTCCCTGATGATCCTACCTCTTCCATATTTGCTGCTTAATGAACTATACTTTCTTTATTACATTATTGGCTAGTAGATGAAGTTTTAAAAAGTAATTAAGACTTTAAACATCATCGTCTATCTTGATTTTCACGTAACCATGTCCTATGGCTTTGGCCAGTTCTCTTGAGCAGTAGTATTTTGGAGGACAGAAAATATAAGAAAGTTGACTAAACACTATGCTCTCAGTAATTTCATTTTGGGAAATTTCTACATTGACAGTATTTACTGTAGACCTCATTAACTTTTATTAGCCATGTTCTAGGTATAGCTAAATCCTCTTCAATTCTGATGTTTCAGAATCTATTAATACATACATACATAAAAGAGTTTAAAACAAATTATCCAATCCATTTTCACTTTAAAGATTAAAAATAAATAAACTCAAGGGGTCTAGATAATTTGAGTTACACTACGATTTAAAAATAGAATTAGATGTTTGGTCTTTAGGTTCCTTGACCAAGTGATTTCCCATTAAGGCAAACTCTCCACAAACCCTTAAAGCATGATAAACCAGTCTGGTCCACTAAACTTCAAGGTAGATTTCAGCCCTTTTGACATCCCATCTTTTTTGATGCCATCCCAGATAGCTCCCATATGATAACAGAGCATCATTCCCGGGAATTTCCGTTGTGGCGGGGAAGGCACATTAACTTACAATCTCAGAAAAATTCCTCTTTTTTACCAAAAAAGGTATCTTATTTCTGATTCACATGAAATGTTAAGCAGACACACTTACCACATTGACAATGTCTGTTGAAGATCTGCTTGCAGTAGAGGAAGAAGAGTCCAAGGAAGGCTAACGCAAACACCCACCAGCAGACTGCCCACCAGTGCGACAAGTGTGGCTTCTTTACCGGGAACATTGTGTGCATCTACCTTCACTAAGCTCAACTGGAAGGTACCTGTGAAACAACAACCAAACAATGGGAGCCATTAGTCAATGTGGGCAGTTAACACTCAGACAAGGGCCCCGAAGTTTTTAGGCCCCATCTTCTCTTTTAAGTCATCTATCAGGGCTGCTATGTTCTTACCTGAGAGTAAGTAAAATTATAATGAAAACAGCAGAACTCATATGCTGCAGACCTGGTATAAATTAGCATGACTAACCAAAAAAATGCTGTTATTGTGGTTTATTCATGCTATGTTTAGTAATATAACCTAAAAAATAGAACCAAATTAAAATGTTCATCAGTAAATACTGAATCAGCAAATCATGATTTACCCCTAAGATGTCATAAAAGACCTTTCATTTATTAATATAAATAGCCAGTAGAGAAAAACAAAGCGAAGAAAGAACCTTCATAGAAAATGTTGTAAAGCACAAAATATTAGCATATATTGTCTAAGAATATGAATATATATGAAGTAATGCAAACATTTAAACACTAGTGGAAAATGTGACAGAGGAATGTGCCCATGAATTATCACACACTTAAAGACACTCTTAAAGACATCAACACACTTGTAGCCAATGCACTTTGAGTGGGAACAATGTATGTCATGTCTAGACTGAGTCAGTTAAAAGCTGGTACATCTAAATCACTTCTCTCTGTGACAAGGAACAGGGCACTATCTAGTCTAGCAATCATAGGCACATGATGGAAGAAGGACTTTGCCTTATGAAAGGAAACATGGGATTTGTTTATTACCATAGGACAGCCTAGTAAAAAGTTGCTTAAAATTTCATCAAAGTGGTTGTTTCTATGGAGGGAAGGAAAGAAGGGGATTCAGAAAGGATCACAAAGGAAAGATTATTATGTCTGTTCTCTTAAAAATCTGAAGGAAATATATAAAATTTTAGGATTTATTATCTAGGAATCTCAGCTAATTCAGGACTTTGTATTTTTAGACTTACTTGTATTTTGCAATGTCTTTTTTATACGTCATGATTTTTAGAGATACACCAATAATTTAAAGAGTATGTTAAAAGATACACAAAAATTATAGAAAGTCAGACAAAAAAATAAACCTCAAGTGCCATGGACATAGACTAGATTCTAGTTCTTTCTTCATATTCTGATGTGGTCTAAAACCCAAGTACTTCCATATACCATGTACATGACTCTAATAGCAATATTGACTCTAATAGAAATTAAGTATAGAAATGCGGTTATTTTTTAAAGTACATTGTTACATTCATTACGCCATCAAACCTAGCCAAGTAGCTCACAAAGTATGAATAAAAATATTTTCTCATTAGATTCAATTTTTAAGACTAGGGAAAGGAGGTCCAATGAATTTAATTTGAATAATGAAAAGTTGGGGTTTAATCATAGGCGATTGCCTTCACCAATACTCCAATGAAAGGAGTACTAAGGAGTATTCTCCTTCTACAAGAATAAAGAAAGAAGTCTATTGACTTTGTTGACACACAGAGGTTTGGAGAAGATGGGAGAGAAAAGTAGATACACACACTGAACCTCAGAAGAAGGAGTCTGCTTTGTGCATGGGATGCATTCTTGGTCCTGCAGGCCCCCAATGCGTGTCTTTCGGTAGAACCTGTGATCAGAGCAGAAAGAAATGGCAGAGCCATGAAACAGGCAATTGACCTATAACAGTCCTTCCTGAGATCATAGGGACTAAGAGTCTTTCCTTCATGTTTCCTTCATTGGAAGCAGTACCTACCCTTGAGAGATCTCTTATTTGTGTGATCCAGTCCACCTTTTTCCTAATTCATCACATCCTATAGCCAAAAGGTGAGCTAAGGTCATGAGACAGGGAAGCAGTTAGATGATCCCAATTTCTTCATGATTTCTGTGCAATCTATCTAAAGCGACATTTTTACTTTAAATTTTAGGCAGAATGTCAGCATGATTAATAAGCTTTTTAAGTGCTAATCCATATTTGATAATTGCTGGATATTTTATATATAGGGATCTAGTTAGGAATGTATGGCTTCTCATTCATAGAGCTTCAATAGAGCATGATGTGGGTAGTTAGAATACTTTTATTGGGGTCTAAGAGGTAGGATGATAAGGGACATAAAAGAGCTTTAAAAAGTCCCAGATAGACTGATACAATTTAGTAGGCTTACCTGGGCATACAGTCGCCACAGATAGCATTAGAGGTATTTGTGCAGTTGGCCTTCTGGACCCGATTGATGACAGCACAGGTGATGCAAGTCTGACACCTGTGATGTCCCCAGGTGCTTTTATACTTTCGGGGAGGACAGGCTATGCAGTATGCATCTGCCACCTTCTCCATAACCACAGTCCTGAAATAGAGAAGTACTAATAAGAGCTTTAAAGAGAAGATCTGCTATGAGTCAATACATATGAATAAAACGTAAAGCAACATTTTTTAAACTAAAAATTTTAACAACATTATTGGGGCCATTAAATCAATTCAGATTGTAACCAACACAGAAAACTGAAATGGAACTAAGTAGTATAGTGACATAAAATGAAGTAAAGCTAAGTGCATCAATAAAAAGAAACAAGGTTATACTATGAAAAAATAAACTCCCAAAATTTTAGTTATGTGAAGACAAAAGACTATTTCTTATTCACACTCTGCCTGTAAGAGATTTAAAGAGGATTCTGGCCTATATTAGCCACAGTGGAGCATACATGAAAGGTTTCACTCTGTGCTACAAAAATATCAGGTAAAAGATAACATTTTGTCCTCAAGAAATAACACATTTCACTTTTATCATGCAGCACAGGCCACACACATCAACTGATCAGTATTAAGTATAAAGAGTACAAGAAAGTACAATTTTACAATATATCAAAATGTGGGTACTAGCAAATATCTGACATGAAAAAGTCCCTATCTTTTTAATTAAAACTTTTATAGATAAAACACATATTAGTACATATTGGGTAATGATGAAAAATTACTTTTTATTCTAGTACAGTAAAAATGTTTTAATACCCAGTGGATAAGGGATCTATCTGGCTTTTGCTTCAGGTCAGCTATCAATGCAATGATACTGGGACTATTACTCCCAACCTATTCTTTCTGTGCATAAGATAACTGAACAATTGAAGAGATTGGAACAGATGTTCTGTAAAGATTATTCTAGCTCTCCTACTATGGAAATCAGTGTGATGGCTCCTTAGAAGATCTATCTCAATGTACTACTCTTGGGCATATACTGAAAGTATGCTTTATCATAACACAGAGACACTTGCTCAACAATGTTTATTGATGTTTTACTAGCAATAGCCAGAAATTAGAAACAACCTAGATGTCCTTCAACAGTTGAATGGATCAAGAATGTGGGACATTTCCACTATGGAATATCATTTGCCTGTTACAAAATGAATAGTTAGGCAAATAGATAGAACGAGGAAAAAAAATCATCCCGAGTAAGGTAACTCAGATCCAGAAGGACAAATTTGGTGTGTATTTGATATGTATGGACATTGGCTGTTATGTCAATTATAATCAAGCTACAATCCAAAGAGGGGATGGACAGATCTCCCTAGAAAGGGGAACTAGAATAGGCAGTTATGGAGTGGTAGAGGAACTGAAAAAGGAAGATCAAAAAGGGTGAGGGAGGGAAAAGAGGGATGAGGGAGGGAATATGGGGAGAAACAACTAAAATTCAGGGTCATTTATGGGGTCGTATGGAAATTTGATACAGTAGAAGCTTCCTAAAGTATATACGTATATGAAGGCAATCTAAATGGATTCACAAAATAACAGAGGAGGCCCCGCTCCAAGTGGACATCTCTTATCAAAAAAAAAAAAAATAGAAGCCTCTAGTACAAGAATTGGGTTATATCTAATTGAGTTGTTGGCCAATATGGTCCAATGGGAACTCCCAAACAACCCAGAATGTTGCCAATAGTATGGGTTGTTCTCCAAAAACTGACTGCAAGGCCTAATTTTTGAAGACAACACCTACACAATTCACTAAACATGGAGACTTCAAGCGAGTGCCTACCTAGAGGCTTCACCTATAAGGACTACTGTTCTTGGTACCAGAAGGTACTCTGCACACTACCAAAGGAGAAGCATAAACACCAAACCCAGCTATTAACTCTCTGATCAACAATGCTGTCTTGTCTGTGAGATATTCTAGGTCAATGGTGGCACAAAGCTTGTGGGGGTAACAACCAATATCTGATTTGACTTAAGGTCTACTCTGTAAGATAGAAGCCATACCAAATACTGCTTGAGTGACTAAGAATCTGAGACTAAATATCTCAGGGACCTAGGATAAAAACAAATACTGGTGTTCTAAAAAAAATAGCAATAAAATGAGTCCTAATGATATTCTACTATACTCATAGATCAGTGCCTTGCTCGGTCATCATCAGAGAAGCTTCCTGCTGCAGCAGATGGGAACAAATACGGAAGCCCAAAGCCATACATTATTCAGAGAGAGAGAGACTTTGGAACTCTCATCCTTAAATGTAATATCTCTATCAAATCCCTCCTCTATAGGATCAGGGAACCCCACAGAAGAGGAGGTGAACAGAGTGTAAGAGCCAGAGGGGATGGAGGACAGCAAGAGAACAAGGCCCTCTAAATCAACAGGATCAAAGCTCATGTGAACTTACAGAGACTGAGGCAGGGCCCACACGAGTCTGCCCCAGATGGTGTTCTAGAGCTGAAAAGAGGAGACACATGTCCCCATCCCTAACCCAGAAACTGTCTCCATTTGATAGCACTTGCAAATGAAAATGTAGTTTTCTCCAAGGGAATGTCATTGGAGAAGCAAACAACTCTTAAGGGTAGGCTGCATGCCTAGCAGTAGATGGCTGACAGAAAACAAGCTCGATGGCATCTTTGGACATTTTTTTGTCTCACAATGTCATGTCAGGGCTTTCCCTTTTTTTAAGTTTACCTTATTTTTTATTTTTATTTTTACTTTCTTTTATTTGTATATTTTTGCTTTCTTTTTACCCTACAGGTCCTTGCATATATATTATGGCTTTCAGTTGAGTGTTTCTATGGGATTCCTGAATATGAGAATGAATGAGTCTATTCTATATCTGTTTCTTGTGCCTTCTGTTGGGCTCTTTTCCTTCTATTTGTTTTTCCTATTCTGATGTGTGAGTTTCTGTTTTATCTTATTATATTTTATTTTATAATTATTCCATATAAACCTGTTTCTTTTCTACTGAGAGATAGCAAAGGGGTATATCTGGATGGGAGGGGAAGTAGGGAGGAATGAGAAGCAGTAGAGGGAAGGGAACCATAATCAGGATGTATTATGTGAGGAAAAATTCCACTTTCAATAAAAAGAGAAAAAACACCTGTACACTGTGGTTAAAAAATTATTCTACCTCTGACAGGTCAAACAGCTACAAAATTCATGCCTGATAGTACTCATAGATTTTTTTCAAGTTTATGCAAAATGATACAGTATTTCTGTTTGGGGGATGAAAATGTCTAAGAAATAGATAGAAACAAAATTGCACATGTGATTAATAGCACTTAATTCTATAATTAAAATAATTGAATAAGACAACTTATATATACCACAATTAAAAACAGCAAGTAAACCAATACACTTTGTGTTTTCTTGGGGAAAATTTTGAGATACCTTTTAATACTTGGATAACTATGTGAAAAATAATAAAATATAATTTGGTCCTGATATTATCAACAAAAACAAATTTCAAATGAATCAGATATTTAAGAATTAAAAGTGAAAAATACTTGGAGGAGTCAGTTGACTTTCTCTTTAGACTGGGGAATAGGAAAAAACTTTCTTAATTGTAACTCAAAAGTCCAAAGTCTATAAATAGCTAAGAATGTAATAAAAAATAAAAGAAGGTTTAGGCACAACAATTTAAAAGCAAAAGTGTAAAACAAAAAATACATATACCTTGTATCACAGGCTAAATTTTTATATCTCAAATATATAGAACTGAAACAACAACTGACTAGAAACTAAATACATAAAAATAAACATAAATGGTTCAGATGAGAAATGTTCAAACTTACTCATAACCAGGTGAATTAAGTACAACGCTATCCTCACATGTGATTTTTCACTTACTAAAGTAAACAAATTGCAAAAAAAAAGTTAACAATATCATGTGTTTAGAAAGCTTCAGGGTAAAGAGAGAGATGGCTCAGCAGTTAAGAGCACTGACTGATGTTCTAGAGGACCCGGGTTCAATTCCCAGCCTGTCCAGTGTCCAATTATGCCAGGAGAGAGAGAGAGAGAGAGAGAGAGAGAGAGAGAGAGAGAGAGAGAGAGAGAGAGAGAGAGAGAGGAGGAGGAGGAAGGGGGAAGGGAGGAGAGAGGGAGAAAGGGAGGGAGGGAGGGAGAGAGAGAGAATTGCATTTAGGATTCTGTCCCATAATTCAACTGTGCATGTGTTGTTACCATCATGGCTAGTGCAGAGTAAGTTCTCAGTGAACAAGTAACATTAGGTATTGCTATGCATTCTGAAAGTTCTCAGTGAACAAGTAACATTAGGTATTGCTATGCATTCTGAAAGTTCTCAGTGAACAAGTAACATTAGGTATTGCTATGCATTCTGAAATAAGTAGGACTCTGGTATCAGAAGAACAGGATGTGAGTCCCTGTTAACTAACTGACTAGAGAAGACAATCATGGAAGCTATCCACATTCACTGATAATCAAATAATAAATTTACATATTGTTCAGCATTTTCCTTGATTTTACTGGTTAATTCAGATAACACTTAATAAACAAATATTATGTATTATGAATCTGCCATGGGTATCATGACTAAATGATTAAAATAAGACAAAAATCCCTGCCTTCACAGACTTTTATACTTATCTATTCTCCATATAAACTTCTAAGGTTGTATTATTACCCCTATTTCAAAGGGAAAACTTTTTGTGCCAAAACACTTGGCTAACTCATGAGATTTCTCCATGCACAAACAGAGATACTGTGCTGTAGTGGACCTGAGCAACAGAGATATTGACACAAGTAGCCAGTCAAAGTACCATCTTTATTTTTTGAGTCTAAGAATACTATGTGAGGCTGGATGTCTGAGTATATACTGGAAGGTAGTATACTACAATCACTACAGTCTTAGAAATATCTTTCATTACAAAACTCAGAGACTTCTTTCCTTCAAATGAGATAAATAGAGAAAATGCTCAGGAAACATCTTCCAACCAACAGGTAGTCTAGCAGAGTAATGCAAGACCCAGAAATGCCAAAGAACAAAATATAGACCAATTAATATTTCTAATCCAAGGATATAGAAAATTAGTCTTTCAACCTGACATCCACAAAGAAGTCCAGAATCTGTATGTTAACACAGA